AGTGGTTCACAGTCCTTTTGTGTTAGGAAAGATAAAGGAGGTTTGGGTTTAGAAAGAATTTTTCCCCCCGAACGGTTGCCCTAAAGACATGTCTGACTAGGTCTAAACTTTGTGAAAGATACTGCAATTCTATCCACAGCGATGCCCATAACCCCGGTTGAGGTGGTTAGTCCCTCCTCTGTCCCGGATGCCTGTAACGGCAAGCTTCGCCGACCTCTGCGACACATGTATAACGGTCCGAACATTCTACCAAAACGACAAAGAAGTGTCTTAAGCCCCGGGTACGTTTCTGTCACAAATTTACTCGCTTTTACTCCCTTACCCCGAATTTTACGTACTAGACAGACCATAAAACTTTTTAATTTTTCATATTTATACGGAATATATCCATACCAGGATGGTGATATAGCACCGGGGACACATATTCATGTATAAAAGACGTACAAAAGTGCATTTTGCATGATAGGTCACCTTTAAGTTGTATACCCAAAATCAGCACTTTTGAAACAGGAAGTGAAATAGAGGGATATGAGGCATGGCTAGAATAGGTGATCTGTTTGGTATTTTCTGAGCAAAACACTTCATAGACATATTTTTTATATATTCTTATATATCTGAGACCTATGCTATTGCCTAAAAATAGCATGATAGGTGCACTTTAAGTTGAATGCAGCTGTGTAGCACATTGGCCCCAAAAGTTTTTCTTATCTTATCTTTTATTATCTTATCTTAGTTTCTTATCATTTTAATTCAGGTTGAAGGCTTACATTTTTGCCGCTGCATTCTGGTATATCAAATTACTATTCATATCTTTCACTGCACTGTAACTTTAATTGTTTTATATTCTTATTATATTTTTAGCTTGTTTTAATTTGTGTGTTTTTTTGTGTGTTTTTAAATGTACTAAAATCTCATTCTGTAATGAGTTTCTGTTTCACTCTGTTTTCAATCTTAATGCTTTTGAAAAACACTGTTTGGAAATGTACTGTATAAATAAACGTGTCTTGCCTTACAGTAGATGCACTGATAAAGGAAGTTGAATGATAGCTGAGGGATCATTTAAAGAAGATCTAGATTACTGGAAGTGAGAGGAGAGATAAATGTATTTCTTACATCAATATAACTCCGGTCAGAATTTCTCCCACTGGCCTGGATGTTGACATTTCCGAGGTGCAGAACAGCTGCCAGGATCCTGAAGAGCTCCATCTGCTGGTCAGGCTGCACACCTGCATGATGAACAAATACACCAATAATCTTGCATTATCTTCATTAATTGACAACATGATTTAATCACATTAATGTCACCTGAGTCTGAACAGGTGGATGCATTGTGTACATGTTTGTGTGTGTAGAAAGCTTGTATTTTCTAATCTTGTGGGGACATAAATCTGTTTCTACAGCCAAGTTGTGGGGACCGACTTAATTATGGGGACAATGGACAAGTTAGAGTAAGGATCCGCCAGTAGTGTTTATAGTTATGGTTAGATTAGTGTGGACATGAATATACGTTAATGTAATGTCTTCTAAATTGATGGAAACATGACTGTGTTTATCAGAATCAGAATCAGAAACTGGTTTATTACCAGGTAGGTTCACACGTACGAGGAATTTGACTGGGTGTCGTGGTGCATACATAAAAATAAAAAACAAAAATGTAAAAATGAACACAGATAGTGAGCTATATTAAGAACATGTAATACAAATATAGTAAGATAGCAATAACATAAAGCAGTCATTTACATTGAAATAGAATGCAATATTTAATGATGTATGTGTCTGAGAGTAAGCGTACTCTACCCAGGATGGTGAAAGCGTTGCGAGTGCGCTCCAGGTCCAACAGGTCATCAGTACCAGGAATCTGCGTCTCTCCTCCCTGGCTGGTGTAGCGGAAATTCTCAGGTGCATCTGGAGGAAAAACGCAGAGCACAATCAGGCTGCATGCAACATGGACAGTGGTATATACAACAGATACAGAACTCAGTGAATAGAAAAGGTGTAGACATGGTAACATTTTATAGGAAAAACAAATGATGGGGATGCCTCTGAAGTCTCACCCAGTTTAAAGGATCTCATTTCAGGCAACTCTCTGGAGGCACACAGCTGGTAGAAGATGTGGTAGTTCCTCTCTGCTGATGCCTTACATGCACATAAACAGACAGAAATGTTCATTAACATATGCATAATACACAAATGAGTTACATTAAACCTCAGAATAAATGGGAAATTATTCATATGCAATAAAGCTTACTTACTTGGAAGACAACCCTAGACTTCTCCAGGAGATACGTCCTCATGTTCGCCCCGATGATGTCTCCTTTTCTGCCAAAGCCGATCTCGATGTACTTCCCAAAACGACTACTGTTGTCATTGCGAGTGGTTTTAGCATTCCCAATAGACTGTAGGTAAAAGCATGTGTTTTGTAAAAAAACATCAGTGACAGGTAAAAACTATTTTTTAAATAACTAAATGTGTTTAATGGTCCATCACCTCCATGATTGGGTTGGAGGCCAGAACCCTCTCCTCCACGCTGGTCTGCTGGGCCGCTCCTCCGACCACAGCAAAGTATCGCATGGTGAATTTGGCTGAGACCGTTTTACCCGAGCCAGACTCTCCACTGATGATGATCGATTGGTTTTTCTCCTCCCTATACACACAAGGCAAGACAGGGCAAGTTTATTTATATAGCACTTTTCTGTACGCGACAATTCAAAGTGCTTTACAAAACAAATGAAAAGACTTTTTAGGAATAAATACATTAAAAACACATTGTACAATTTTACAACAGACATTACAAAGCAAAGATAATCAAATAATTAAAATAAACACCACAGGTATACAATACATTTTTAAAAGGCATACTTTAGTTCGAATATGAGCATCTCAATTAAAAGCAGCCAAAGAGATATGTTTTTAGTCTCGATTTAAAAATAGTAAGCGTTTCTGCGGACGTGCATGATTTGGGTAGTTTATTCCAGAGTGTCGGGGCATAATAGCTAAATGCTGCCTCTCCACGTTTTGTTTTTACTCTCGGAACCGATAGCAGACCCATCCCAGAATACCTGAGGCACCTTGATGGCTCGTAATTATGCAGGAGTTCAACAATATACTTTGGTCCTAAACCATGTAATGATTTAAAAACTAGCAATAGATACTTCTTTGGCCGACTGGAAGCCAATGTAGATGTACACAGATACCATGAATACCATATCCCATAAAGTGAAGTTATGCTGAGACCATCACTGTGGTTGTTACAGTACAGTGTAAGCAATTAAAGTAGGTTGTACTGTATAATGGTTGAAATGTTTCTGGTTGCTGTCACATGACCTCTGACCTGGTCATGGTGCGGTAGGCTTCCTCGGCCACAGAAAAGATGTGAGGCTCCATGTCGGCCATGTCCTGCCCGCTGTAAGCATCGATAACCTCCTCTCCATATATGGGCAGCTGGTCATAGGGATTAATGGCCACTAACACGATACCTGGAGGGACAGGAAAATAAAGTCACATCAGTAAGATACTCTGGATATTGATAGGATAATAATGTAGAAATACAGTTTTTGTAATAAATTGAGCGTGTTTTTATTTGTATAGAAAAAGCACTTATATAAGTCTTACTAGAGATGACACATGTTTTAATTGTACATGAACTAACTTAAGCATTCCCAGTGCAACCGAAAATACAAATAAGAAAAGATTAAGTTTCAAAAGGCCACTGTTTTAGTCTTAATCGAACAAAGCAGACGCAAGAAAACACAATGCCTTTTGTCAACTAAACTAACCCTAACATAAGTTGCCATCTCGAAACTACAAAAGTTTGAATTAAAGTAAAACCATTTTTGGTAGAGTGACTTTAAGAAAACGTTGCATCATCTAAATGACAGAAACATTTAATTGCATCTTAAAACAGTAGCAGCTAGGGAGTTCCCTCCTCAACCTTTGACCTACAGTAATATATCGATCATTATGAGCCGTTATTCTGCAGACAGAAGCACACAGGAGCTGCATGTTGCACACATCTCAAACACCTGCTGTGACTAATGTTGGCCACAATAAGTAGAGCAATCATCCCTTATTTAGCTCCTATTCCCTCTCTCTGCAGTCTGCATGTTCACAGTCAGAGCTCACCACAGTACGTGTAGATGCTGCTGTAGTCCAGGAATCGAACCCGCAGGTTGTGCAGGACAGCAGCTTCATGGAGGAAGCTGAGAGCCGTCAGGTCGTTCTCCCCCTCCAGGATGTCAGGGTTCCCCGGCGGGGGGAGATCAGAGGGGGACGCCAAAGGGTAATGGGCCTCCTTCCAATGGAGAAGGATTCAAGATTCAAGGCTTTTATTGTCATTTGTACTTAGCTGCAGTGTAGATATGTCAATGAAAATCAGGAAGATAGAAATTATTTTAATGGGAAATGTAAAGTGTTTCATGAAAATATGGAAGGCACTGGAGCGTAGCATGTTTTTTATAAGGATCATGAGCCTTCACATTGATTTGTGGATAATATCAAGATACATCATGTCTCACCTCCCCATCAGAGAGCTGTAGCAGCAGGTTATTATCTCCGGGGCTGTAGTCCTTGAGGAGCAGAGCTGACACCCAAACAGCATCCGGGTCAGGAACCCACACCCTTGCTCCCTAACAAGGGAACACATTAGATTAAAAAAAAATAACAGACACACCATTTTTTTTTTACATTTAAATAAAGAAGGGAAGAGATTCTGCAGGTTTGACACACTTTGCATTTTATAGACCATTTTTGGAGTCCAGAAACGAGAGGTTTTTTTTACAGCTTTTTGTTTTCTATTCTGACACGCTTAAGATACATGAATTTCCTGACCCCACCCAGAAAAGACATTTGTCAGCCATCAGCATAAAAGGCTCCTAAACGATGTTAAAAATTAACACTGGTCATCCTACTCTAAATGGGATTACCCATTACCTACTTCTAACATATGTAATTTTCTTATTATTCTTCCCTTTTTACAAATAAAGGTTAAATCAACATATTACAATTTCCTACTCTTATGAGTTTACACATAGAAAGATTAAAACAAATTTTAACTCAAAAGCTGTTAACTGTTGACACAAATCAGGAAAGGCTTTCATTTGAGCACTGAAACATATTCTATAAAATACAAACAAATAATTTCTTATGAATACATATATACCTAGTAATGTTTTATATCATAACCAGTACTCTACAAATGGTAAGCCCTTCAGAGGTTTTGAAAAAAACAACATTTAAGCCAGTCTTACCTTGCTGTATAGCTCCAGTGAGGTCATCTTAACGTCTTTAAAGCATGCAGGTATATATCATTATGAGGTTAAATCAACAGGAGCAACATCCACACGTCCCTCTGAAGGAACTGTCTGTTTCCTCCACACTTCAGCGGAAGAGCCACTTTGTGTCCTGCTGACAGTTCTTTGCACTTTGTCCAGGCTCACAGGGAGGCATGAGGATCGTCAAGTTAAGTGTTCATCTATGGGAGGATGCAGTGATTGGACGGAGGGGTTTCTCCAATTAAATGTGCAGTGTGCACCAATAAATCCAGAACATGTGGTCCTTTACTTTAAGAGGATTCAGGTGCATCCAAATCCATGTTAAACTATAGTTTAAATGTTAGTTTGAACCTGGATTGGTTTGACTCAACCCGTTTCAGTTGCTATAATTGTAAAGTGCTGAAAGACATGGATCACAAAAGGTATGTCAGATGATTGTAAAGCAACATTTGGAAAGTCCTCCATATCATCCTTACTTAGGTGAGGGAACACCTCAAAGTTAAACGATCACAATTAGAAAATGACAACAGAATTAATGACTTGAACTCATTTTTAATAATTAATACAATCAAATTCATTCAGCATCAGCCTGCTGATAATGAGAAGGGATTTTCAATATTTTAGCTTGATATATTATTTAACATCAAACCACAGGGATATAAAATACAAAACAATTTTTCTTCAGATGATGAATGACATGACATTTTGACTGTATTTTGCTTTGACACCAATTTTGTGCTGGGTTTACATGGAGGCAGCATGTGTGTGGTAAACATGGAAATATATTCTATGCTGGTAACATTGAAACAATAAAGAAAAACCTGGATTGACTCGGACAGAAACAAAACCTAAACAACCACAACATCAGTAAGCACCTATAATAAGGGGTTTTAAGTGATATCTTTCCCGTTGTGCTCATCCCACTCGTGTCTTACTTTCCTTATATTAATTTTACAACGGCATAGCCAACATAATCGCTTACGGTAAAAATACCAAGCAGATTTGACAAATGTCAAACAACCCTCTTCCAAACGACCTCTTTGGTCAACAACCATTACTCACAGGATGACACAGCTGCCATAAAGTACACGATTTCCTTGAAACTACTACAATAAAAACTTTACTTTGCTTTCCGATGGATCAACACAGGATTCAAACTACAACGTCTGCATTAGTATCAACAGCAGAACTGCAGGCTGGCACCTATTAAATTAACTTATTGTTACAGCTCAACTGGTTTGACTAGAAAACATTGTGTTTTGTGTCAGACAATTCTTGGAGAGTAATGAAAAGAAAAAGAGACATGCCAAAAATACAAAACATTCATTTCCATCTGTCCTAAAAAAAGAAAAAAAGGAAACATCCAGATAAACATTTAGCTGACGTAAAATGTTTGGATCTGACTGTCACTAAATTAATACAAACCCATTCAAAGCCTCTCGGTAAAAAATACGCTTCTCATCAAAAACTGAATTTGACACACTGTAGATAAATTAATTTTAATATTTGAAAGTTAAAACGGGATTTTTTTTTAATGTCAGCTCATATATATGTAATTTAATTGTCGTTGAAGTCAAGGAGTCCCATCTAGTGGAGTTAATAATGAATAGGTGCATTTGAGACTCCCAGGGGTTTTTTGGCTCGGGGGAAGACCGTTCTTTAGGTCGTTCAGGACTGGTGTTAGTCGGGTTGGGTCAGGGTTGAACGCAGATACTCGGGGCAGGACTGCTGTAGACTCCCACTGTTCATGATCATGTGTGCGGGCGTTGAACAAATCCCTAAAAGAGGAGAGGATTGACAGTTAGAGGATACAGGTAGTAATACAACACTCATAATACGCCTTGATCTGCAGCTAGCTACGTTTCGACTTTAGAAACCAGAGGCCTGTAATATGAAGCTGGTTCAACCTAACCTGGATATGTTTGAGTTAGCCGGTTGGCCTAATCCAGTGGTTCTCAAAGTGGGGGGCGCGCCCCCCCAGG